GGGGGGGGGGGGCGGGGCAGAGGCCGGGCGAGCGCTGAGGGGGAGGTGCAAGTGGACGGGGACCGGGGGATTGGAGTCCTGTTGCCTCGGTGTGTCCGAGATTGAGCTGGATTAGCCCTAGAGGACGGGGTCCCGGGTCTTGCTGCATTTTTGGCCACAGGACACGTGCCGTCTCTGTGGTCGAGCCGTGGCGCCAGCGGTTCAGACCCTGCCCGTCCCCCACGCCTCCAGATGCCACGGCTGTGGCTGGACTATTGCCAGTTCCTCATGGACCAGGGCCGAATCACACACACCCGCCGCACTTTCGACCGCGCTCTCCGGGCACTGCCCATCACGCAGCACTCTCGCATCTGGCCCCTGTACCTGCGCTTCCTGCGCTCACACCCACTACCTGAGACGGCCGTGCGGGGCTACCGGCGCTTCCTCAAGGTACGCCTGTGGGGGTGGGGCGGGACCGAGCGGCGAGAGGCCGCTTCACGAGGTTCCCAGCGCCGGCTTACTGGGACACTGGCCCCTCGAGGGGCGTCACCCGACAGACGGGAGGCGGGGAAGGCTCTTGTTGGCGATTTGTTTTCCCTCCAAATAATTTGCCAGCACCTGCTGCATGTCTCGCATTGAGACAAGTGCTGGGACAGCGTGTGACAAAGACAGTCCCTGCCTGCATGGAGCTTTTGATCTAACTGGATAGACAGGTGCCCACGAGCTGACCACGTCTCCTGGTCACATCTTTAAAAATTTTTTTTTTCACGTTTATTTCTGAGACAATGCAAGAGACAGAGCACAAACAGCAGAGGGGCAGACAGAGGGGGACACGGGATCCAAAGCGGGCTCCGGGCTCCGAGCTGTGAGCCCAGAGCCCGACATGAGGCTCGAACTCACGAACTGAACCGTGAGATCATGACCTGAGTGGAAGTCGGATGCTCAACTGACTGAGCCACCCAAGCATCCCCCTCTTCTGCTTCTTTATTATTTTTAATTTTTTTTAAATGTTTTTATTTTTGAGACAGAGACACAGCATGAGCAGGGGTGGGGCAGAGAGAGGGGGAGCCACAGAATCCGAAGCAGGCTCCAGGCTCTGTGCTAACAGCTCAGACGTGGGGCTCGAACTCACAGACTCTGAGCCGAAGTCGGACGCTCAACCGACTGAGCCACTCAGGCGCCCCTCCTGGTCACATCTTTTAAACCAGTAAAACCACAACCGTGGGAGGGCAGGGAGTGGGAGACAAACGGCTGTGGGAATGTTTCCAGGCGGAAACAGCATGGGGGGGGTGCCGCCCCCTCGCGCTTCTAACAGCTGTCGTACGTTGTGAAACTCGGCACCGCGCTGTCTGGCTGGGGGACTTGGGGTAAAGGCCGGGCCCGGACCGTGCCGGCTGTGCCTTTGTTGTCTAAGCCAGACCGGTCAGGGCTGGGGCTGCACCAGAGGGGCCCAGACCGGATTGGCGGGGCCTCGGCTGGACCGCCGGTCAAGGCTGCCCCCGTGGGGCTGAGGCCGGACTGGTAGGGTCCGGGTGGGACACGTGTGGCTAAGGCTGGGTCGGCAGGGCTGGCGCCGGGTCAGGGCAGCGGTGCGTGGCTGACCCGGAGCTGCCGAGTGGTAGCTGGGGGGACGGCGGGGTGGCTCTGCGGCCCCGCTGACTGCTGGTGGGGCCGCCCGCTGCCCAGCTGAGCCCCGAGAGTGCAGAGGAGTACATCGAGTACCTCAAGTCCAGTGACCGGCTGGATGAAGCCGCGCAGCGCCTGGCCACCGTGGTGAACGACGAGCGCTTTGTGTCCAAGGCTGGCAAGTCCAACTACCAGGTGGGCTTGTGGGGGGATGGGGTTGGGCAGGAAGGCTTGCCCCCCCCCCCCCCCCCCCCCCCCCCCCCCCCGTGGGGCACAGGGCTGAGACGACTCCTCCTGGGTCCGCAGCTGTGGCACGAGCTCTGTGACCTCATCTCCCAGAACCCAGACAAGGTGCAGTCACTCAATGTGGACGCCATCATCCGCGGGGGCCTCACCCGCTTCACCGACCAGCTGGGCAAGCTCTGGTGCTCGCTGGCTGACTACTACATCCGCAGCGGCCACTTCGAGAAGGTGCGCAGGCACGGGAGGCGACGAGGGGAGAGTGGGCGGGTGCCACGCAGGTGCCGGACACAGCGGTCACTCCCGAGGTGTCAGTGTTCTCGTCCACGTTAGCTTGCTTGTCGTCAGGCAGTGGAATAGGGGGGTGCGTGGGGCGGACGGATCCCCAGAGTTGCTGGCTGGAGTCGTCGGGGCCTCGTGGAAGAGGAGGCGAGAGGAGCTGGAGCAGAGAAGGGGCCGCTGACGGGCTAGGGGAGGGAGCGCCCTGCGGGCTGAGGGGTCGGCCGTGCCCTGCTGAGGGGCGCCGCCAGCCAGGCGTGAGCAGGACGGAGGCAGGACCGGCTGCATGCTTCACAGAAACCCTTCAGGCCACCACAGGCTGAGGCTGGCGGCAGGGGACTGGTCAGGAGGCGGGCGGAGCCAGCGGCCGGGGTGGGGCGGACAGTGGAGCATGACTGGCCAGGAACAGGGGTAGAGGGATGGGGCCCAAGCTTAGGGGCGGGAGTGACCGGGAGAACATGAGCTTCAGAAGTGGGGTGGGGCCCTCCATGGCCAAGTCCGGGGTCCCCGCAGCGGGGACCTGTGGGGGCGTCGGGGTCGGTCACCTCTCGAGTCTTAACCGGGCGTCGGCCACCTCACACGTGTCTCCCTTGAGCTTCGTAGTCACTCTGCACGGGGACCGTCACCATTTACTGGGGAGGGCAGGGGGCGGCTGTGGCTCTGCTGGGTGTCGGTGCTCCGGGCAGTGCGGCCAGGTCCCCTGCGTCCACGCGGGCAGGCCCTCGCGTCCCCCCAGCCAGCACTTTCCTTTTACCCCGCCCGTGCCCACAGGCTCGAGACGTGTACGAGGAGGCCATCCGGACTGTGATGACCGTGCGCGACTTCACCCAGGTGTTCGACAGCTACGCGCAGTTTGAGGAGAGCATGATCGCAGCCAAGATGGAGACGGCCTCAGAACTGGGGCGGGAGGAGGAAGGTGAGGCAGGCCTGGGCCGGTGAGGGGAGAGGGCTGGGCCGGCAGGCAGGGCTCTGAGAGCCCCAAGGGACAGCAACGGGGGAGGTGCGTCTGCACGACAGAGGGAGGCCGGCGTGGGTGGAACTTTGGTGAGTAGCCGGGACTAGCGCTGCATCCCTGGCCGGAGTGGCCAGTGGAGTGAGTCTGCCAGGCCCCGGACAGTCGGGGCCCTGGTGGTGCAGAGGTGGGGGCGGGGCCGCTGTGCTGAGGCCCCGCCCCCATCTCGAGCGCAGATGACGTGGACCTGGAGCTGCGCCTGGCCCGCTTCGAGCAGCTCATTGGCCGGCGGCCCCTGCTCCTCAACAGCGTCTTGCTGCGCCAGAACCCACACCATGTGCACGAGTGGCACAAGCGCGTGGCCCTGCACCAGGGCCGCCCCCGGGAGGTGTGTGACGCCCCGCCCCACCCCAGCCCCCTTCCCCTGCCTGCTGGGCCCCGACCGTCCAGCCTGACTCCATCCTTCCCACCCAGATCATCAACACGTACACGGAGGCCGTGCAGACGGTGGACCCTTTCAAGGCCACAGGCAAGCCCCACACACTGTGGGTCGCGTTTGCCAAGTTTTACGAGGACAATGGGCAGCTGGACGATGTGAGTGCCCTGCGTGTGTGGGTTTGCGCGTGTGTGAGTAGAGGCGTGTGCTCGGCCAGAGGACCCAGGAGGCACAGACACGTGCACTCTCGCGGGGGCGGGCAGGGGCCAGAGAGGCAGGGTCCCAACCTGCCCTCTCCCACCCCTGCAGGCCCGCATCATCCTGGAGAAGGCCACCAAGGTGAGCTTCAAGCAGGTGGACGACCTGGCCAGCGTGTGGTGTGAGTGTGGCGAGCTGGAGCTCCGGCACGAGAACTACGACCAGGCTTTGCGGCTGTTGCGGGTAAACGCGAGCCCATGTTAGGGCGGGGGCGTGGTGTGCTGTGTGGCCGTGTCCGGCTGTCCCCAAGCCCCCGCCCTGCTGCCTGCTCCCTCCAGAAGGCCACCGCGCTGCCTGCCCGCCGAGCCGAGTACTTCGACGGCTCGGAGCCCGTGCAGAACCGCGTGTACAAGTCCCTGAAGGTGTGGTCGATGCTCGCCGACCTGGAGGAGAGCCTGGGCACCTTCCAGGTGAGTCGGGGGGCCGAGGGCCCGTGGCGGCGTGGAGCCGGGGGCAGGGCCACAGTCTCTGCCCCGGACGTGCCCTGACCTGCTGCTGCCCCGCAGTCCACCAAGGCCGTCTACGACCGCATCCTGGATCTGCGTATCGCCACGCCCCAGATTGTCATCAACTACGCCATGTTCTTGGAGGAGCACAAGTACTTCGAGGAGAGCTTCAAGGTGAGGGGGGCTGATCTGGAGGTCCCGGACAGCGGGGTCTCCTGTCCCGGGGCCCCGGCCGCTGTGTCCGTGTGCTCCGGTGGCCCTAACAAGGTGTCGCAGAGCAGGGAACTCAGACAGCAGAGACATACCGTCCTCGTCCTGGGGGCTGGAAATCTCAGACTGTGGTGCTGGCGGGGCTGGTCTCTCCCAAGGCCTCTGTCCTTGGCTAGCGGGCGGCTGTCTTCCCACCGGTGTGTGTATGTGTCTTAATCCCACAGGGACTCCAGTCATCTCGGGTTAGGGCCCACTCTAACGACTCCCCTTCATTTCCCCTTTAAAGGCCTGGTTTCTAAGTCCAGTTACATTCTGAGGTCCTGGGGTTGTGGCTTCAACAGGAATTTGGGGGACACAGTTCACCTCTTAACAGGCACCGAGTCTTGTTTCTGGGCGGCGGGTGTGTGCGGGCTGTCCCTCCTCTGCTTGTGTGACAGCTTGTAGGTACGTGAGGTCCTGCACGTGCACGTGTTGGGAGGCCCTGCCTCTCTGTTGGGAGGTTTCGGTTCTAGGCGGAGACCGCACGTATCCAGATGACATACACGTGT